GTCAGGTAATGTGATCTAGCAACACGGCTGTTGATGCCAGTAATTAGAAGGCAGAGGATTAATGGCAAAATGTAAGACATTTTTGATCGGCAGACAAGTTTAGACTGATAAATAGTATAAAAAATGTCGCCTTATATACGTATAGGACGATCGTATGTATGATTCACGTCCAGTGCTGACGACGTGTCGCCTAGCCGTCCTTACTTACTACTGCTAGTTACAAATGCTCTCTCCCCTGTGTGCATTAACAATGTAACACACAAATGATACGTTAAATCGCAAAAATTGCATTGTTTAATATGTGAAAGTATATTAACTAAGCGTAAAAGTACACTTTTAATTCGAGTGTGCTATGCGATCGTAGTGATTCAATGTTTAGTGTACTGTGTGAATGAAAAATTACAGAAACATGTATTATATAATATTATAAATAAATAAATATTAAGATATTTAAAAAAGAAAATTATACAATTTCATTCCGCGTTTTTTATATTTTCACTCAATGAATCAATACAAAATTTATATTGTTAAATTGTTATCAGAGGCAACTGCGTAGACTGTACTGAATGCAATGGATATCTCCGCGCATATTGATTGCATTAAGTGAGTTTAAAATTATTCATAATAAATTAGAAAAATACGTTTTGTAAAAACGATGATGAAATGTAAAAAAAGTATAAACGGAAACCGAAACAATAATTGAGTATCCTGGAAATTTATTAGTTTAAAATGTGGCGATTGGTATTACATATATTATAATTTTATTTTGGTAATAGAGTTTTGTATTGAATAATTTATGTTCGTAATGGATAAACTAAAAAAAAAAATACTCAGACAATTAAAAATTCCTTTATCTGTAGAATGTAATGTAAAGTAGCTTAAATTATTAGTGTATAACATGGGCTGTATTTTATTAAAAAATAAAACATGTAAAGTTAAGACGTGTCGCTAGTCTGATATACAGTGCGATAGTAGCGATTTGTCGTAGCGTGTGTGGTCTGCATAACATTTATTTCGTAATATCGCACGTGACATCGAATTTCGATATAATTATGGAAAATCCAACCTTTGTATGCATGCTATTTTTAGCATAATTTTAGTCATAAATTTATTTAATCTGATCTCATTTCATTATCAAGAGATTTTCAGGAGGATAAGTTCTCAATTCGTAATTTTCATTATTATGTTACGCGATTACATACCAATACCAATACTAAACCAACTGAAATTGAACTGAATATTGGGTAATTCTTCCTTTTTAAGGAATCAAAAACCAATAATGCCAGAACCCGTACTCTTATCAATTGAAGTTTACTGTAACAGAAATATTTACTAATCTATTTTAAGTAAATAATTATGTAATTGACAAACAAAGATGTGTATAATTTTTTATATAAATAAGATACTTATGTATATAGTTTATAAAATTTATCTTAATTTAGAGTAAAGGATATGGTTTTGTTTACTAACGTGACTTTATACGGCATACATAAAACTATTTTTATAAATATGCCAATATTTGAAGTTTTTACTATAATAAGCACCTACTACTAATAATAAATAAATTGTAGATAAGTCTCATATTTACCAAATATTTTTTTTGAGAATAAATAATATTTCACTACAAGATAATTTCTGCGGTGTGTTTATAGTTTTTAGGGCAATGTAAGCAGCAGGCAGCATTTATAAGTTTACGAAAGAAAAATTTAAAAAGAAATTTATAAGACACATTTAAAGAATTTATAAGTTATTTTAATATTGTAAGAAAAATGCCAAGGGAATCGTTTCGGTAGCTACTCTATACATGTAAAGTAACTTAAACACTTGTAAAATCCATATTAATTTGAATATCTATTTAAATATAAAACATATGTAGCTTAAATTAAGTTACGATAGATTTTAAAATTTCAACCGTTTTTTTCTTAAATTGAACATTTATTCCAAAGTACCACGTGTTGGAAAATATTTAAAAGGAATCTTAATAATTTAAATGTAATCCTGTATATATATATATATAGATATATTATATAAAATATAGATCTAATATCTACGTCATTTTAAATTATCACGTAATTTTTTTTCGAGAAGGACATTTTTAAGGTACTTAATTGAAATATATAAATTGGACACGACAGCTCAACACGCCTACAGCATTTGCAGTTAACGAAATGAATAATGCATTGTCGACACCGAGCCCTTGTCTTGACATTGTCTAGTTTAAAATTAAGTTCATTAAATTGAATTTTATAATAAGCTCCGAACTTGTACTTACACGATACATATATATTTTTAGTAACTATCTAAAAATAATGATGGATTTTCAATCTTACTGAATTGGGATATTTAATCGATAGAGAGAGAGAGAGAGAGAGAGAGAGTAATAAACTAATCATTAACGTATCATTAATATGTGCATTTTTGCGACAAATAGCTATCGTCTTCTTTTTTTTTACCTTCTACTCAAAAGATGGCCTCATAACTAAAGATATATATATATATATATATATATATATATATATATATATATATATATATATATATATATAGTTTTATTTTTTAAAGTGGTGATAAATAGTAAATAAATAAAAGAACTTACTCGTTTTATTTTAGTTTATCTGAGAAACTTCAAATATAGTCCGTTTTATAGCACTTACAGTTGTTAAACTAGTAAACATTAATTTATTAGTCCGTCAACTAAAATTAATTAATTAATAGATCTTTTAAAATTTCTGTCTCACCTATATGCTACCATATAGGTAAGATTGTTTTGTCGAGACTTTTTTATGTAAAATTTAGTATATACAAATTACGTACTTGAACACATTGTACTCGTTATGTTGGTGCAATCACATAATATTTTTGGGTGTAAAAATACAATGCGTCATTATTCCTTTCCATCTTCGCAATATTATCTGCCACATTATGTCTATATAATAATAATAATTTTATTTTTAATCACTTGCTAATTGTATTGTAACTGTACCTTGACACACTACCATGTAAGTTTGGTGATAATAGAATATTCTGATATTGTCGAAGTGATTTGATGATGAAAATGAAAGGTGGCCAATAGAATTCGTAAACTATGGATAATATATGCGTCGTGTTTGGGCTCGTTTGATTTGTCTTGATAACAATTATAACTCTATGTCGTGCCCAGAGTTTGAAGATGAAGCTTAAACGCTATAAAAGATTGTTTTTTAAAGTGTTCTTAAATGGATCTGTTTTGAATTGCAACATTAGAACGACTAAAGAATGACGCTGACGTCATCGTGCTACCTGATATATGGGAAACCCGTGCATTGCAGTGGGATGTTACTGGGTTATAATGGTAGTGATGATGATTAATATGCGGGAAGTGTGATAATTAAAAACACCACTTGCGTGTAATACTGACATAAGTCAAAACATGAGGTAAAGCATACTGTAGACAGCGCCTTATAAATAAAAATAATTAATTTCCTTTTTTGAAGACAATTAAAGTAGAGAATTAATTATATAGTTTTGTAAAATGTGGCTAATAATATATAAATAAATAAATAGATAACATGTCGTATCTACACAATCATTGTTTTTGTGATATGGGTTTAGTCAAAATTCAGCGGTAGTGACTTATTTTTGTAGAACTCGATTCCCATGACTGTTGAAAATAATGACCGCCTATAGACATGAACACTGAATAAATATTACAGGATACGTATTATAGATATAATTTCCATTGCGCATTCAGCATATGAAATAAATAAGTTGCTTATCGAGTGTCTCGTAAAATTTGCGAGTATGCATTAGATACGAGTACGTAAGTTACTATTTATAATATGACTTAAATCTGACATATATCTGAATATATTTCGTTGAACATACAATTTAATTATTTTTTTTTATGCAACTTAGAATGGCAAACAAGCTGACGGCCCACCTAATGGAAAGTGGTAACCGTCGCCTATAGACATGAGCAGTGCCATGGACATAACAGAGTATACTGTTTCGCCCATGTTACCCTCCATGCGTTGCCATTCCTGAGGACTAAGGTGTTATTCCTCTGTACCCTGTAAATTCACGCCATATCCCACCGTTCAAACCGAAACACAGCCATGCAAACACAACTGCTTCACGGTAAAAACACGAATGGGACAGATTATTTATAGTATTTACAATAATGGATTCAATTGAAATCAACTATTGTTAAACAGTTGAGATTTTTGCCCGTTTTCTCAGCTGAAATTATATTCTTAATGGACGGTAGAATCATAAAGACTATTCAAAAATGTTAGTAATAAAGTTTACTTGAACAAAAACATATCCTTATTCTATTTTCTTAACAGATAACATTTTGTAACTACAACAGAATGACATGAATACTTAAATGAAACTTTTGTATAAGCCTACCAACTTAAATAAAGTTTATCTTGAATTTGACATCTGAAAATTGTTAAACTGTGCTGAATACAGTAAATTTCTAAAATAAAACCTTCTTTCTGAAACTGTATACATTATGGTTATCAAAGTGCTTATATTTTATAAGATATCGAGTGGATTGTCCCAAATTGCTTAATGCTGCATGTATTATCACCATTTAGTTTTAAATTTAATATATTTAGGAACTATTTAATACATTTTTACATTTGTGTAAAGGAATAAAAAGTAAATATAAGAAAATGAAATAATATAATTATTATGATGACTCAATCATTTCTGATTGTTGACTCACGTAATTGGGGTTATAAAAGCAATAAACTTAATGTAATTTTTTTAAGGAAAACCAAAAAATGTTTACGTTATAATATTATATTATTTTATATTTATTGTTTTATATGAGATTTTGTCGTTATTAATTTTGCGTATAATATTTTGAGTTTCCCGTGACAAATAAATAAATAAAACGGAATCTTTATAACTTCGTTATTTGTAATTGTATGTTGTAAAAATCACAAACTGTAAATTATAAAAATTAGAGTTTCATAAATTTTTAAAGGTTATAGTGTTAGGACATATATAGGGGAGAGTGGGGGAATTGAGAACGGCGGGTAATTGGGAACAGCTAGGTAAATAATACTTCCCCCCACTTTACACCGTCCCGCGCTTATTCAACAGACGCATCCAGCGCCCCTAAGTGTACACCAAATAGTAAGAGTGAAAGGCCACATGTACCCTGTCACGGTAAGTCGAACAATGTTATTTGCATTTCTTTTATAATTTTTGTCGTGTCTTATAATAGGTGTAACTATCATATTTTTGAATTCAAAGGCACCATATTTTGTTATTATCATGCATGTACTATCTGCTTCCAAACCCTACGTGATTGAAGGTTATCAAAAATACTATTGAGGATGGCGGCCATTTTGATATATATTGACTACTTTGGGCAATTGGGAATGGCATCAGGCGGGTAATTGGGAACGTTTTCAATGACCTCTCGCGTTCTCAGTTTACCCCTAGTGCTGCTGGTTAATTATGTAAAAATGTTTTAACTTTAAAAATTGTTTTAGATGTCTCGAAACTATATACGAAAGACTGAATCGAAATACAAAATTGAAGATCTTCGCCATGCAGTTGAAGATGTTAGAAATAAGAAGCTCACATTAGGCCAAGCTGCTACCAAATATTCGATACCAAAATCAACATTATTCAAACAATTAAAACAAAACAAAGTCAAGACACTAAAAAAAGGTCGATCTGCTGTATTTAATAGAGAACAAGAAGACCAGCTAGGAAAATATATACTTGATTGCTGCAAGACTTTTTATGGAATAACACCAAGTTCATTACGTAGAATTGCTTTTCGATTTGCTGAAGCTAATAAGCTGAAACACAATTTTAACAAAGAAACCCAGCTGGCAGGGAAAGACTGGTACTATGGCTTCATATCTCGACATCCTTCCATCAGTTTACGGATACCAGAAGCTACTTCACTTAATAGAATAACGGCTTTTAACGTCACCGAAGTGAATCTGTTTTTTGATCAACTAAAAATTATCCAAACAAAACACAATGTAATGTAAAATGTAAACTGTGCCTCTTGCCGAAATCATTAATGTGCCTATCATTCCTAAAACAAGAACCATTTCAGTGCAACAGAATAAGAGACATTCTCAAATTTTATCCAGCTCACAGATAAAAATTGAACTTGAGGGAAAGCAGAAAAAACAAAATGAGAGAAAAGCCAAAAAAGAAAAAGTTCCGAATAAAACACTAAAAAAGAACATTAAGACCATAAAAAAAAATCCAAGACAATCCAATCCAAAAATCAAGGGTAAAGGAGGGAAAAATTTAAAAAAGGAAAATAAGTTAGAAGAAGAGTTTTATTGTATAATGTGCAACGAAAAATATGAATCTCCGCCGACAGAGGATTGGATTATGTGCGTCATCTGTAAACTCTGGGCACATGAAAAATGTACTGCTGGCGAGACTAGTCTAGGGTACGTGTGTGATATGTGCCAACCAAAAAAACTATAGTTTATTATAAAGATTTAATTGTGTCGTTTCTAATTACCCCATACCTTTCCCATTTACCCCTCGGGATGATCTCAATTACCCCATAGGGTATCGGGTAAAAAGAAACGACAACGTTTTTTGTTTTCGTTAAAATTTCTAATGAAACGTTGATTCTTGAGAGTTTTTCTGTAACTGATAAGTAGATAGATAAGTAAAGTTTATATTCTAATAAAAGTTGCTATATCTAAGACTTTTTTCTATTATTTTTGGACGTTGGAAGTTAAGTGTTCCCAATTCCCCCACTTTCCCCTACAGATAGCTATATCTAATATTAAGACATTTATTTTTAGCATTTGTTTCCGGTGACCTAAAGATTTTACATTGCGGAGAATGAGTCATGTCTAAGATGATTCATGTCTAAGATGTCGTAAAAGGAAAATAAGATAATGAAACCAAAATTAAATAGACATTAGATAATGCTGTGGTACTATAAAATGTACCACTAGTCAAATAAAGTTACCACTTGATAATATCAAGACTTTTTAAGCCACTTTGATTGTTTACGAAGGCCTGTGACGTGGTTTATCGAACGATAGTTTGCAACTTTCTAATATTATTAGGTATCTTGTGGTTATGCCAGGACACCTGGCCAGCGTGGTAGTAAGCTATATTCTCTTGTATTGGGGAGAGATCTGACTAGAAACAGGAGGTCAATAGTTTGTTCGAGATTCAAAAGTTAATTGGAAATAAACTTTTATTTTATTCTACTTGTTCTTATTATTTTAAAAAGTATATAAGTATTCTATACTTTAAAGTTCTTATTGTACAATAATATGTAATAAACATACTTATCTCTCCTCTTGTGACAGGTGGTTGTCAAAGTCATCAACGCAGCCGGTAGCGGTAAAATCATAGATAGTGAACATATGCTGTTATGCGTTCCGTTTTATGATTTCTTATTAAACTGAGTAGAAATTTTAATCAATTTTATTATTCGATTTTAACAAATATTTTTAAACTATGATTATTTAAGATAATAATGTAGGATTTATTTTTATTATTATTAGTTTTATTTATGCCAATATTGCTTATGTGTACGTAAATATGTTTTAAGGAAAAAAATTATAAATTGTTACCTTTTTTTATTTTTAAGATGCAGCAGTGGGTTTTTTTTTTTTTTTTTTTTTTATTTTTAATATTTCCACTAATTTATTTGCTGTTATTTATTATTATGTTATCTTCGTTTTAATGATCTTTTTTCTGTATTAAAAAATATATACTAGGTATACACCAGTATACATAGTGATTACTTGGGAGAGGTTATTCATTTTCTATATTGTAACAGTTATATTATTCTAAATTGTAACAGATATATTATTTAAGTCGAGTTTTAATTTTACTTTTCATAAAAATTAGATCATTTTTTTTTCTTTATTTTCTTTTTTGATTTGATTTGTATATTTTGATTATTTACCAATATTTCTGGATTGATTGGCTGGCGAGTGGCTGAGGAAAACTGGAATAATCGTAGTGTAGTATTTAGTTTTAGGTTGCTAGATAATAATAACTATAATTTTTATATTATATTTTATATTTATTTTATTTATATATATATATCAGCTCAATGTCAGATGTATTAAATAATGATACCGATTTAGAATATTTTTCATTGTCATCTTCAAATGATCTTTTTTCTAGTGCTGAGAGCGACATCAGTGATATGCCTTCTCTAACTGATAATTTAGATATAACATTCGCGACGTTACATAAGAACTTTAATGTAGTACACATCAATGCTCAGAGTTTACCTGCTCATTACATGGATCTACTTTCTACTTTCAAGTGTAAGAACATCCACGCCATTCTAATCTCTGAATCTTTCCTGAAGCCGTCTTTGCCTTCTACTCTTTATCCTCTTCCTGGCTTTCGACTGCTTCGTAATGATAGGACATATTTAGTGTCCAATAATAGTAGTTCTAGAATGGTGGGTGGCGGCGGTGTTGCGATCTACTTACGGGGTGATATCGAATGCAATATAATATCACATTCTCAGTCAATTGCGCAGACGCCTGAACATTTATTCTTAGAAGTTTCACTGCATCACACTAAAATCTTGCTGGGTGTGTACTATAGTCCATCTTTGCATGTAAATTTCTTCAATTCTTTAGAAGCTTTATTGACAGACTTTTGTCCACGATTTGAGCATTTTATTTTAATGGGTGACTTCAATACTTGTATTATAAAAAATGATCATCGCTCAAATAAATTTCTCTCACTTCTTCAATCTTTTGACCTGCATTGTCTTCCTCTTGGCCCCACTCACTATCCACATAATGGTCCTCCCTCGCGACTAGATCATATTATTACATCCTCACCCGAAATGTGTTCATTATATGGACAGTTCAATGCAACAGCTTTCTCAGCACATGACCTTGTCTTCGCATCATATAAATTAAGACCTCCAAAACGTAAATATAGGGTTATGATGTTGCGCAACTATAAGACTGTTGATGTCGTTTCGCTTCGGAACGATGTCGCTGGTGCGGATTGGGCTGCGGTGGAGGCTGCGGCAGATATTGATTCCAAAGTGGAAGTGTTCAACTCAATTTTGTTGACAATCTATGATAAGCATGCCCCACTTCGACCAGTTCGGGTAAGACATCTACCTGCACCCTGGTTAACAGACGACTTGAAAAAAATTATGGCACTCAGGGATAGAGCTAAAATATGTTTGCGACATCATCCTTCTGAGGTAGAGCGTGATAGATACGTGCAGTTGCGTAACAAGTGCAGCAAACTATGTAGGGCTGCTAGACGAAAGTATGTTCATTCGGGAATTGAGAACTGTCCACCGAATAAACTGTGGAAGTTCTTGAAAGGTTTGGGTGTGGGCAAACAGCAACACACAATAGGTCGTAACCTGGACTTGAATGCGATTAACAAACATTTTAGTACCTCACCTATCTACTATGATCCTGCAACCAAACACTCTACACTAGCACAGATAGCCGGTAGTTGTAGTGTATGTTCCGATGCAGACTTATTTGAGTTGGGAGCTATATTATCACAAGAGGTAATAGACATTTTGAATTCTATCAAATCTAAGGCAGTGGGCAATGATAATATCAGTCTGGATATGTTGGATCCTATCAAGGATCTTATAGCACATATATTAGCCGTCATTATAAACTTTTCTCTTTCTACTGGTACTTTTCCCACATCCTGGAAACTGGCGCATGTTATTCCTCTCCCTAAAAAATCCAATCCGTCTACTTTCTCGGAATACCGACCTATCTCAATCCTTCCCGTACTTTCAAAGGTATTGGAACATTTTGTTCATCGACGCCTTACTAAATATCTTTATCGTAATGATCTCTTGAGTCAGTATCAGTCTGGTTTTCGTACCGGTCATAGCACGGTTACTGCACTGGTAAAAATTACTGAGGATATTCGACTTAATATTGACAAAAAGAATATTTTAATATTAGTGCTACTTGATTTTACCAGTGCTTTTAATACTGTGGACTTTGATGTACTTCTCGGCATTCTCTCCAAATTTAGATTCTCATCATTGGCTCTGGCATGGTTCCGATCATATCTTTCTGGCCGGCGCCAATTGGTACGTGTGGATGACTGTTGTTCTGACTGGTGCGCGATTAATGCAGGTGTCCCTCAGGGTGGAGTTCTTTCGCCTGTACTTTTCTCAATTTTCATCAACGGAATTACGTCTGCTCTCCTCTCTTCATTTCATTTGTATGCAGACGACATGCAATTATATACTGCTGCTCCCATCTACAACCTTACTAATGCTGTAGATGTAATTAATAATGATTTGAACGTAATTGCTAAGTGGACGAAGGATTTTGGGCTTTTAGTTAACGCAGATAAATCTCAAGCGGTCATTATGGGTAGTTCTCATTTTATTGCTAAACTTCGGTATTTAACAGTTCCCAACGTTATTTATGACGGAAAAATAATCCCATATTCCACTACTGTTAAAAATTTGGGAATTGTTATAGACCAGACACTGTCATGGGGTCCTCATATAGGTGAAGTAAGTCGAAAAATCCACGCATCACTACATTCCTTAAAGCGCGTGCAGAACTTCCTCCCTTTAGGAACTAGACTTTTACTGGCTCAATCTCTTCTTCTTCCTCTTCTAGACTATGCTGATGTTGCCTACCTAGATCCCACACAGGAGCTTGTTGATAAACTTGAGCGACTGCAAAATCAATGTATTAGATACATCTATAACCTTCGAAAGTATGACCACATATCTAGTTATCGCAGTCAACTCAAATGGCTTCCTATCAGGCTACGGAGAAATGTCCACATTCTTACTCTTCTTTTCAATATCCTTTTTAATCCAACATGTCCACATTACCTTCAGGAAAGATTCAAATTTCGCGAAATTGATGTTCGCCTGAGATGCAGTAATGACTTCATTATAGATTTGCCTTGTTTTAATACTCAAAGCTATGCCATGTCATTTACTGTACATGCTGCACGTCTCTGGAATTCACTTCCTAATAACTTAAAGATGGCACAGTCGCTGAAATCTTTTAAAGCAGGTATCATAAAATTTTATTTTGAAAATCCCTCTTCATTGAGCCAATTGTGAATATATGTATTTATTATGTAT